GTCTATTCTATTGGCTTTCAAAAGCCAATAGAATAAAAGGGAGTAGCACAGCTAAGGAAAAGAGGGAAAAAATGGCGGACTGCGTTGTTTGGCGACCCCCGTGAAATGGTCGTTCAACCCCAAATGGGGTCCCGACCCACAGGTTGAGAACCGCTGCTGTAGCTGTTGCAATCTCCTCTCTTTTCTATTCTGTTCTAATCTATTCATGCCACCCATCACCCCAATAACGTTTCCTACAATAAGAGTAATCCTGGCCTGTATGACATTTTTTCTTAGTCTGGTCTACCTTATTAGGCTGCCCCCTTTATTTATTTGTTTGTTTAATTAATTAATTACATTTTTATCCCACCTTTATTACTTTATAAGTAACTCAAGGCAATGAACCTACCTAATGCTCCTGCCTCACAAGAGCAAACTAGCTGGTTGTACAACTGTCGAGTGTGGTGACACCAGTACCCAGGCGCTACTCGTTAACTGTGACTTAATCCTATGGATTTCCTATCACAGGCAATGGAATCGTTGCCTTTGGGATCCATTTTTCCTTCCCAGGCCAGTGTATAAATTCCAGTAATGTGTATAAGCATAAAATCTCCTCCCTTCCCCCATCGATTCATAGACAAGGTAGCCATTGGTCACTTAATCTAAGTGTTGCAGTTGCTGACCCACTATGAATAATGACCATGGATCCTCTGGGAATATAATTTACATTTAAAGTTAAATGACTTTATTCTGCAATTTTTAAAATCAAATAGATTCTCATATGTGCAAAAAATTAAAAACTTTACTTTTCCACCTTGAATGCATATTTGAAAGTGTTCTAAGTATCTTGACTGACCCACAGCATCCTATGTATATTATCTTACCATTTGCATCTTACCCTGGTCAGCTGAATCTCTAATTATGTCAGGCTGCGTATTTCTTTTCTTCTGATGCCTGGGAAAACTACAGAGAATTCTCCAGCTGTTCTCCCCCACGGGAGGCCCACAAGGAGGGTCATAAAAGTCAGGATGGCAGCCACAAACAACATACAATCAAAGACCCACCCACCCTTTTTCCATTGACATGCTTGTAGCCATCTTCTTGCCTTTTTTTGATCCCCCTGTAGACACCACCACCCACCTGCTGCCAAAGTCGGGTTACTCCTGATGTGCCCCATCTTGCCCCATAACTACTGGGACAGCCTCATCTTCTCTGCTGCTGCTGCTGCTGGCATCGCTGGCCACAGAGCACAGGTTGAAGGGCAGCCCCATTTCTTTAGTAAGCTCAGGGCCCCCATCTCAGAGCCCACCCCTGCTCTCCATGCAGATAATGGCTAGACGTGTTCACCTGATAGGCAAATGTAACAGTTTTATGCCCACCGGAATGTAGAGTTCAGCGAGCATCGTGCTTAGAGAAGAAAAAGTAAACCTTACCACTGCTGGGACGCTGGGATGAACTGGGTGAGAGCAACAAACTGAACCTCGGCCCAGAGAAATACTATAGACAGATGTTCCCCAGGACCAGGAAGAGCAGAAGACCTTGCTCCCGGAAGAGCCGCTGTGTTTTTTGCCGGAGTTCTTCCCTGAATCCCCTGGTCTTTAGCGATGCAGGTGGCCTCCCTGGCACAAACAGCCTCTGACCAATTTCTGCCAGCCCAGACCCTCCTGTGACCACGAGCGCCGCGTCTTCTGGTTCACGGCCTAAGAATCCCTCCATTGTCTTCCTCCGTGCAGGGTGAGCTTTCAAAACAGCTGCCCGATTGTTGAGCGGGGCAGCTCAAAGCAGCCACATGACTTGTCCTGAAAATATCCCACTGTTCTCCTGGGAGCTGCCACTGGTCCCATTTCAGCTGCCGCTGAAATCCAAATCAGCCTGCAAAGCCTGGAACAGCTTTGGGTCCATGAATTGTCTTTCTCCTCTCCTGTCTGAAGATCAGCCCAGGGAGGAGGGGGGCAATCTTCCTGGTGCCGGTCTGCAGCCAGAGTAGCCAGGCTGGACCTCCTCATGGGCAGCCCCCTAACTCTGGCCCTCTTTTCTGGCTCCTTCCAACCTCAGGCTTTCTGTGATAGGCCAGTTCAGCCAGACGTTGCTCCAGTGCAGGGTCTCCTTTCAACATACCTGTTGTTTTGCTTTATTGCTTTTCAAAATGAAATCTGCTTTCGTTTTGTATTTGTATTTGTTGTTTTAATTTTTAATTTAAGTATCGCATCATGAAAACTTTATTTCAGATTTTTAAAAAAAACTCTAAGCCAGTCTGGCAGGAATTACTGGCTGCTCCATCTCATTTTTTTTTCTTGAGTAGTGGTTTGGGCTTCTCATTGCTCTGAAAAAAAGAACAGTTTGTCAGTTTGTTGACAAATACACAGATTGGATAACTTTCAACAGAAGTTAACCTCAGCACATTCACATCCATTTCCAAAGGGATTTTTTTTCCCCCCTTAGATTTTTCATTGAAGAAGCCAGATCCCAGTTCAGCTGTTTGGTTCTGGAAGTAAGACCTGCAGATTAATTTTTGCTCCTTTTCACAAAACGTCGGAGGCCAGAAGAGACAGGTAGTGTGGAATCACCACAATTGATTCACTCACATTTAATGGGGAAGTCTTCAAAACATCAGCTGGAATGTTCTTATATTTTCCTGGCGCTGTTTCCATCTTTCTAGAATCTTTTGAGATGTATGGAAGAGCAGGACAAGACCCACAGGCATAAATGTTATTGGCAGGACCCCCTGCCTTCCATGTAGCCTTTGGAAGAGGGTCACTTCTATCAACTACTTAATTGTCACTTGTTCTACTACCACCATAGTTGTTCAACGTTACACAGCTTCAACCAATTTAATGCAAGAGCTGGAAACTCTCTCAGGGAACAATTTATTTTAAAGTGGTTGTAGGGAAAGTTTTGACATCCTTGCATTGATTGAATGGAGAAATTTCGTGAAAATTAAATCACAAGCTGCATATCTAATTAAGACCCGTAGCGCTAACAAGTAAATATGGTCAAAGCCAAATCTGTACAAACCAGCATAAATATATTGAGGAATATGAACTGACTTAAATCAAAAAATGCTTACATTTTTCTCCAGATTCCTAAAGTCAGTTCCAAAACATCTTTTTGAAGGATTCCCCATTTTTTTTCTTAAATCAACTATCAGAATAACTGAGCCGTCAGATTCACCCTCTAGCATCCTGAAGTGACTTTTGCCCTCTTTGTGACACCTTTGATGAATCCAGGTTTTCCCTCCATCTCATTAGAATTTGTCCTTAACAATGTCTTCCCAGATGCTTCAGTTTCCTACTTGGTAAATAAAGGACTGTAAGAGTCGCCTGAAAGGCATCCGAATGAAGTATTTAGGACATTGAGTCTTGACTTTTAATTTTCCTATTTGGAAGTTAGTCACACCACATTAGAAATCCAAAACTTCAAATAGCTGGCAGAAGTAGGTCTGACCACATTGTGAAATCCCAAGAAATCTCCCTGTATGTCCTCAAGACATTTGACTATATTTGAGCCACGAAGAAGAAGGGGTCAAGCTATTCTCCAAAGCAAACTAACTGATGGCAGAACAACAAGCAATGGATGGAAACTAATGAAGGAGAGAACCAACCTAGAAATAAGGAGAAATTTCCTGAGTGAGAACAATTAAGCAGTGGAAGGGCTTGCCTCCAGAAGTTGTGGGGGCTCCATCACGGGGGGTTTTCAAGGGGAGACTGGATAGCCCTTTGTCCCGGATGGTATAAGGTCTCATACTTGACCAGGTGGTTGGACTGGACCTTCCAATTTGTTATTCTGTTATTCTGAGTACATTTTAGGGTATTTCAGTTCACAAAAACAACTGACCAATGAAGGAGACACCATTACCCCTTAAGTGGTATGTTCTTGGAACAGTTGACCATGCTTCCTGAAATCCAACTGAAGTCTTCCTTGTAATTTAATCCCCATGACTTCTGGAACAACACAGAACAATTCTGCCCCTTTGTTTACATTACTATACTTTCTTGGACAACTCTCACGTCTCCCTACAATCTTCTCCAAGTTAAGCATGCCCAGCCATTCCTGACACCATCAATATTTTCTTCCAGCCTCCTTGTCAACTTGCTTCCTTCCAGACATGGTCTAGTTTGTCAATGACCTTTCCAAAATGTGGTGCAGGAGTCCACAACTTACAAGAACCTGCAGGGCATCCTCGACTTATGACCATGCTGGCTGAGGAATTCTGTGAGTTGAAGTCAAAAAGTCATAAAGTTGCCCAGGTTGGAGACCGCTGGCCTATTGGCTAAGGCCAAGTAGAAAGGTGGACAGTCTCACTGAATTCAGGGATGGGACACTATTCACTAAGCAAGAGACTTTGTCCTGGGGGGGCATTTCTGTAAAGATGAGGCACCAATCCACAACTCTGAAGGGCTTTTTGTGGGAGCTTCAAGTAAATGTTTCAAAGCAGAAAGGACAAAATATCTCTGGAGGAATTTCATGGGACAAGACGAAGAGGCTGAGCGGGAGTTTTGCAGGATGTTTCTAGGATGGCATCAGATGCTGCCCTGCGTGATTTTTGTGCAGCTCACCCATCAAGATGACTCACTGAGGTTCAGAAGCTCTGAAAAGGATTTTTTTGTTTTTTGTAACATCCAGCTCCATCCTCAAAGTCTAAATCTACCTGCCTCTTTCATGACAATGAAACTAACGTGATCTCTTGTGAAAATCTTCAACATTGCAGCTTGGGGCAAGTATGGAGGATTGTTGATTAGAAGGTCCCCCCTCCTTCTCAGAGATGTCCCAGAGGGGAGTTTGAGGGCAGACAGAGGCCACTATTTTGACCAATAGTGCAAATATTTTCTTAGGGTTAAAAAAAATCACACAAAACACCGTTTTTATTAGCACGGAGCGTTCTTCCCTGGGATTTCGTCATGATGCCCTTCCCCTCCATGGTAAGGACAGCAGGGCAGGAAGGGAATCCCTACACCTGGGCTCTGATTTCCTGCAGGCTGCTGGACAGGCGAGGGAAGGTGAGCTGTTCTTTACTCTTGCAGTGGCCATTGGGATAGTGGAGAGCGGCCTGGTGCCATCGCTGGTGGAGAAGCTGAAGACGGAGAGGGAGGACATCCAAGAACTCATCCTGGACACCCTAACAGGCTGCCTGCGAGTCGAAGCCTTCGAGGCCTTGGCGACAGGCGCCGTTTCTACCTTGAAGGAGAAGCTCCGGGACCCCTCCCTGGGCATCAGGTGCAAGGCTGCCCAGGCCCTCATGGCCATCAGGTGAGGCACCCCAGTGCGTGGCAGAGGGCGAAGGAGCTCCAGGGTAGCTCCAGGTCTGCCAAGAGTGTGGCTGAGTTGGCTGGTCTGAAGGGCAAAGCAAGCGGACCAACCTCAGCTGATCCAAAGGGATGGTTTTCCCACTTCAGTGTCCCGTTGGAGGGGAAGAACATGGTCTTCAAGGAAAACGTCTTCCCAGACCTGGTCACCCTGCTGGAAGATGAGGATGCCGAGGTGCGAGCCCACGCAGCTGGGGCCCTCATGAATTCGGCAGTGACAACCCAAGGTGAGCGTGGCAAAGGGGAGCTAGCGGGGCTCAGCCCTTTCTCTGTGGGAGAGGAGGGGGGGCTCAGCCTTTTCTCCCTGAGAGGGGGGGGAAGTTCAGCCCTTTCTCTGTGGGAGAGGAGGGGGGGCTCAACCCTTTCTTCCTGGAAGAGGAGGGGGGCTCAGCCCTTTCTCTCTGAGAGAGGGCTCAGCCCTTTCTCTGTGGGAGAGAAGGGGGGCTCAGCCCTTTCTCCCTGGGAGAGGAGGGGGTCTCAGCCCTTTCTCTATTTTAATCGTGATCAAATAAACAAGAATTTGATTTTTTTCCCCTTTCTTCTTTGTCCTTTCTCATAAGATTCTTCAAAATCTCTTTTGTAAATCAAACATAAACAGATTATCCAGGTCACTATCTTGGTTTGTGAGCATGTTAACTGGTGCCTTCGTCTCCCGGCTCTCGGACCAACGGGAAAGCACTGTCCTGTGCTCCTCTCTTGAGGAGCAACTGCCAGAGCAGATGTGGGCCATCTCCCGCCCTCTCCTTTATCCAGATGGGTTCCAAAGAACTGATCATTTCTGACAGTTCTTTGGTCTTTCCTCCACTCATTGTGTCTGTCTTTATTAGTGAGATGTTATAGTTCCCTCTGCCTCCACAGCAGCAGTCTCTGGGCTGCGCTCATTGGCCCGAGGAGGGGATAGGCAGGTTTGGAGAAGCAGTTCCCACTTCGTATCCAGGATAATTTTCTAGTATTTCTCCACCTAAATAAAACTTATTTGGCAGTTTTTACTAAGAGCCTGGGTTGTGCCAAGGGGGCCAGGAAGCCCACTCGGACCTTCTGGGTGCAGCTGCTTCCATCTCGCCTCCTATTTTTACCCCTCACTGCTGGCCTAGTCCGTTCCCTACTATGTTTTCTCTCCGTTTCAGGGAAATATGCGGCTATTAATGCAGAAGCCATTGAGTATCTTCTGCCTTTGATCCACGATGAGAAGAGCAAAGTCCGCCTCTACGCCATCAAGGCCCTGACCATGTTGTCCGAAGCCCCAGAAGGCCGCAAGACCCTGTTGAAGTACGTGCCGGAATTCCGGAAGCGGCTGCGCGACTCCAGTCCAGCTGTGCAGAGAGCAGCCCAGATCGCCATTCAGGTCATCGAATGGAAACCTTAGAAAGCCTCTCGGCAACTGGCAATAAAGTGACAAGAGCTGTATCGGACCATTTTGTTTGAGGTGTAACTGGGCAGAAGATCTGGCGAAGGATCTCTCCTTTCATTTCATTCAGGGTGATGGCTCCTGACCTTGACAGCCCTTAATGGCAGAGGTCCAGGCTCCCTGATGAACCATCTCATCCCACTGGGTCAAGCCTGCCCTTCTCTGACTGGCAGAGAGGACCTACTTCGGATCCTGTCAGTCAAAGAACTCTGACTAGTGGGATCCAGAAGAAGAGCCTTCTCTGCCACTGCAGCGCCCGCCCTCTGGAACCTCCTGCCCTCCAGGGCAAGATCTGCCCCCAGCCTCCCACAGGAGCCTGAAGACCTGGCTCTGCCGGTTGGCCTGGGGCCCAAAGGGGAGGGGGCTGCTGGATTGAGACTCCACCTCCCCCCCTTTGCTCTCTGCTCTCCACCCGTCCAGCTTTTTGCTTAACATATTGATCTATTCTCATTGTGTTCTTTTTCTATGTTTGTTTTACGGTTCCCTTATTTTACTCCTGATCTGTTTACACTCTTTTCATTTCTTCCTTTTTATTGTTGTAAGCCGCCTAGAGTAGCCCCACCGCGAGATAGGAGGCAAATTTATTTAACTAATTAAATAAATAAATCGGGGAATGCAGAGATTTGACCCACAGGCCAGCCCTGCTGAAATGACAGAATTCTGGCCTTGTGTCTGTCAGGAGAAACGAGCAAGTAAGGAGCATATGCGGGTTGGTGAGGGAGGCTGGCAAGGGTATTAATGACATTTATTTATTTTTATTTTTATTTCACATTTCTGAAGCGCCCATCTCCTTCAAAGAGGGACTCTGGGTGATGCACAATGAAACAATGTATAAAATGTATAAACATTAAAATGTTAAAATTAAAATTTTAGAATTAAAATATTAAAAATTATAAAACTATAAAAATGTTCAAGGAGGCAATTTTAAACCCAAAGGCAAAGGGAGAGGTCTCGGGCCACCATCCCACTCCACATCCTTTGGGCTCCCTACATAAGGCCACAGAGAAATGCTTTAACCCCTTTTTTGAAGTCCAGGAGAGTGGGGGCCTGTCTGACCTCCGGGGCAGAAGATATTCCATAGGGTAGGAATAACGGCAGAGAAGGCTCTCTTCCTAGACCCCGTCAGTCGGAATTCTTTGACTGACAGGGTCTGCAGCATCCCTTCCTGTCGGATCAGGTGGGAGGGGCTGATGTGATGGGAACAAAGCCGGCTTGACCCCATGCCATGTAAGGCTCTATAGGTCATAACCAACACCTTGAATTGGACCCAAAAGCAATTGGCACCCAGTGCAGTTTGCAGAGCAGAGGTGTTACATGTGCCCTTCTTTGGCTACCCAATGTAGCTTCTGTGGCTGCCCTCTACTCCAGCTGAAGCTTCCAGATACTTTTCAAGTGAGGCCTTGAAACATCCAAGATTCAGGTGTTTGTTCACCTAAGGAGATGAAGATGAAGAGGAATGCCCTGCAAGGGATGTGCCCTGCTTATTTTGCTCTACCAAGATTGCAAGAATTAGATGTGCCCCAAGCACAGGCCTCCTGGAAGAGACAGTCTAGAGGCAAGAAGCAAATCTGCCCGTGGTCCAAATTCACCAAGACAGCTAAAGAATTCTTGGAAAAGAGACAGGAAGCCTGTCAAGAAGAAGTCTCGTTCTCTGGACCTTCACAGCAGATTCCATATCAGGAAGGGTAGGGAGGTGTCCTGACCTCTGCTCTGATGGGGTGGAAGAACATGGGGTAGAGGTTGGAGGTCTCTACCAAGGGGGACTGACGCAGGAATCTGTTGGTCCAGCAGCCTGTGAAGAAGAACGTGCTGACATGAGGAAAATGCTTGGGAAACCTGGGATGGGATGGGGTGGGAAGACAGCTGTCTCTCCTAACTGATCCGTGCAGGAGTAAGTGATAAAGACTATAAAGGATGCTATAAAGGATTACGAAAAACACTGGCAGGGGGATGAACGAGCTGGGACAGAGGTAAGATTTTCTTCGCTGTTGAAATAATTTGCTTCAAGAAACGAAAGAGATGGCCCAGGAAAAAAGAGAGTACTGGAAAGGGAGAGCAGGCTATGCAGATGTTCCTGATGGGAACAGGTTGGTTTCTTCATTAAAAGGAAGCATCTCTGAGAAGAGGCCCTGGCAAGAGGCGAAGCTGCGAGACATTTGTGTCGTTTGTTCCCAAGTGAGAGTTTACAGCAATCTATCTTGGCGCCAGTGTTATTCAACACTTTGATTAATGACCTGTACAAAAGGATTGATGGGCTGCTGATCAAATCTGCAGGTGACACAGAATTGGGAGATCTACCCAACACGCAGGAGGACAGGGTGAAATTGCAATTTAATTTGGACCGGCTGGAAGACTGGACTAAGAGGGAGAAGTGCAGGGGAGGAAAAGGTAGGACACAGACAAGGTGGGGGATTTATGGCCTGGAAACCCCACAGCATCTGAGGAGAACGTAGCTAAGACCGCTGACAGCAAGCCAGATGTTAGCCAGCATTATGATATACACCTGCTAGGAAGTCTCATGTGAATCTGGCATGGATCAGAAGAAGCTGCTTCAAAGGGGAGGATCTCCTTCTGTTCTATGCTGGTGAGACACAGCTGGAATGATTGATTATAAACACAACCACAATTCCACTTAGCAACCCCTTTGTTTAATGCTTGAGTTGCTCATCCCAGTTGTGGTCACTAACTAAGGACTATCAGTATTTGCCATTAACTCAGCATCACCTTTTAGTGACCACATAGATAGACCTTCCTCAAGATGACCTACCTCCAACCTGGCCCTTCAGGTCTATCAAAGATGCAGATGTTGCTGCTACAGTCCAGCCACCTCACTGCTGATCTTCTCCATCCTATTCTCAGGGCTGTAGACTTCAAGAAGGCTGAGTCTTCACCTGCTACGCCTTCATTGCTCCTCCTGAGCTGGTCTGCGGCTCCTGGTTTGGCTGCTGGTTGCTTGGACAAGGATGGTCAATCCTAAAAGACGGAGACTACCCACCATTTCAATATCTCACGCTCCATTGTGAGGCTTGTTTACAGTATATTTAATTTTAATTCAATTTTTCTTTCTCAATACATATTTAGGATATAACAGATGGAGTACTGTGTATGATTCTGGGCAGCACATTTCCAGAAAGATATTACAAAATTGATATAAAGATTTGAGAATGTGCCCCAGGAGGACAGGCTGAAGAATCCAGGGATGCTTAGGCTGGGAAATAACAGACAGAGGGATAGTTAGATAAAATGGTGCTTCAGGGAAGATGGTCAGGAAATAGTTTTCAATCTGTCCCAGAAACTAAGAGTAGTAAGGATGGGCATAGGTTACAGTTACCTAGATTTAATTAAAATGTAAGGTAAATGACTTCCCATAATAACCAATAACATCCTCTCAGGGGGAGGATCAGCACCCCCCCTCACCCCCCACTCAGCGAACAAGCGCGCGCACACACACACACACACACACACAAAGATACCTTCAGTCTAACCCCCCCAAAGGGGCCTCCCTCAGCTGCTCTGGCTAGCTAACCCACTTCTGGGTCTCTCAGCCTAAGCATGCAACCATGGCCCTTGGCTGATCTTCATTGTCCAAATCTACAATTCTGTGAGTGGGCTTTTGGGGTCTGGACAGTCTTTCCATCATTTCTCAAAAGAGGAATGTAGCCCGGTTCTCTCCTTGAAAGTTTACCACAAGGAAGAGGCTCTAAAGCTGTTTTCAGAGTTCCCAAAGGAGCTTCATAGAGGAAGAAAATAAGGAGGAATGTCCTGGGGTGAGTCTTGAGTAGCAGAACGGTCTGAGTTATGGGTGCTCCATTCCTTGAAGTTGTCAAGCGGAGGTGGGAGGGCCATCTCTCTGGGATGGTGCAGCAGTTCCTACTCTGGGCAGGGTGTTGGACTAGAAGACCTCTGTGGATGCTTTCAAGCCTGTGAGTTTATTATTCTGTGACGGCATTGCTTCCATATACCTCTGATGAACAAAGAAGGATAATGCTTCCTGCTTGCCGTCCCTTCCCCCTAAGGTGGGGCACGAGACAATGGGCTTGAGTAGCCATGAAGTAGCTTTCCTTTTGATATCAGGAAACATTTCCTAACATTAAGAGCTGTTCAGCAATGGAACAGGCCGCCTCAGGCATCACGGAACTCTTCCTTTGTGGAGGCGTTCAAACAAAGCTGGGATGGCCATCTGTCAGGGAGACTGTCGTATGGACTAAAATGGTATTTAATGGATTCTTATCCCAGGCAGGAGGTGGACTAATGTTCTCCAGGAGCAAATATGCCATCAAGGACCGGAGCCAACAGTCCAGAGGACAAATGGGGAAGCAAAAGAGTGGGGGGGGGGACAAAAGGGGGAGGCAGGGTTTAGAGACTGGCAGAGAAGTACATCAAAGGGAGCACCAGTGTTTCTACCCCAGTGCATGATGGGAAACAAACAAAATGCTTAGTACACTGGGGAGATGCTATGGACTTAGTGGAGCTCATACCCACATACATACAGAGAAACATCACAGTCTACTTCAAATGTATACATATACATGGCTTACCGTCACAACTCATGTTGTCAGCAATGCCCTTGGATGTAGCCTGGTTTACTGTGTTGGGGGAGTAAAGAAAAAAAATCCAGTGTTCCACCAGCCAAGCAGCTTCTCTGAGCCTTGATGAAGCAGAAGACGGTGGCTGGCTGGCTGGCTTGGGAAAGTCAAGGGAGGCTAGCAGGAAGCCCCCAAACCAGGCCCCTAGACCCATCTTGGCCAGGCTTCCAACACCCACCAAAAGTTGCAGGCTCGGCGTCCTGCTGTTTTGAGACAGGAAGTCCAGGAGAAGGTTCTGGTTGATCTTCAGATGGGCTCCTTGTAGGTTGAGAGATTGCTCCAGATCAAACTATCATCTGGCTTGCAAAACGCTGGCCCCAGACCCAAGATGTGGGGTCACTCTCAAGCTGGAAAGACCCTCCCTGTCACACCAGCCAAGCGAGGAGGGCTGGTCCTGAGGACCCTGTGAAAGGGGTTCCTAGCACCCTGTTTGCGGCAGCCCAGCCCAGTTCAGCCCGAGCATCAGCTCAACACAGGTTCAGCTGTTCAGGGTCCAGCACAGCTATGGCTGCTTTGTTCCTGGATCAGCAGAATCCGCACGTTTTTTCCCACTTCCCAGAATTCCCCAGGCAGCCCAGCTGAAGGGCACACCCCTTAGAACTGTCCAAGGCTGAGAAACACAGCCCTAAGGAAAGGTTAGGCATGCAGATTTCATACTCTTTGTCCCGACTGTGGATACAAAAGCATGCTGAACGTTGGAATTCAGAACTAGCAAACACCCAGGCCATACAAAGCATCCTGAGCCCATGGAACTGACTGCAGCTAGATTTTGCTTTAAAATACAGCAGAGATTCCTTGAGTTCTGTACTACAGCTGGATTTAGGCAGCCCATATGCCATAATGACCGTTTCTTGATTTGTTTTGGCTGTAATGCATGAGAAGCGAAACGTCTTCAGAGAAAAACCAGAAAGTCCAGTTGCCTCTTTGGGACAAGGAACTGGACCGGCATCTCCCCAGTGACGCTCACGCCACCTTTGCACCTGGGTTCCCAGGACCCGCAGCGCCCCAAACAAGGGCTGGTTCACAGCCCACCCGCTCCCCCCAACTCATCCCCGAATCCCATCGCTGCACAGGGACTTAGATGACATGTGAATGCGGGGGGGGGGGGCAGGGGGAAGGCGGCCCAATCCTGGGGCTCCAGTGGGCAAGAAGGGAGGGAGGGAGGTGTGGGATTCGTTGTCTACTTGAAATAAACAATCACCAGCCAAAACTTCCAAGAGAAACAATGGTAATTTATTTGTAGTCCTTTGCAAAGGGGGTGCTCCTTGTGCATGCAAGCACACAGTGGACACACCTTAAATCTTCAATATTCATTCTTTATATTCTCCATTGCTGTTATAAATTTACCTCCCACTTCTCCTCATTGGCTTAGTAATCATGCTGTAATTATGTCATCACAACCTCTCCACAGCTCCTAAAGGGAATACATTATCTCCACCCCTGATTACATCCCCACTCCTCTAATTTGATTGCCCCCTGCCCTTGTTTACAAATTATCTTTTATGACTGTTAGTTCCTAGGTGTTGTCTCTAAAGTTGCTATCGTATCAGTAAATTATGGTTAAGACCAGTTTTCAGTGAAGCAGAGACCTTCCTAGATAAAACTCTCAAGCTTCAACTTTGCTCATCAGATTAAAATATAGACAATGTGTTTGCTTCACAGGCCAGCATGTCTTCTGCAATTTCTGTAAAAACAATAGACCCTTTTCCCCACAATCCCTCCTTTTTCTTTTCACAAACAATATTGATTTTTATACTCACATTTCTCAATTTGTTGCTACATTCTTCCAACCTCTTCACTCTCATCCAACCAGGCTACCTTTACAACAAATCATCATCATTGGTCCAAGCTGCATACAACAACAAACCATCATTCCAGTTATCAATATTAAAGTTCTCAACATTATTAATTGTTGTACCCATCCGGCCAAGTTAGGGATCCACTCACTGAGTCCTTTCAAGGGATTCCAACCATCCGTCCTTATGGCCCCAGCCGTTTCTTGTAATTTATTTACTTGTTCATGATGTTTCTCGATTAGTTCAGAATAATCAGGTACTTCTTCACTAGTATTATGTATCCAAGTGCAACAACTATAATCAATTCGCTCTGCACATAGTCCACTCACAGCAATTGCTAAACTCTCTATTTCTAACTGTTGTCTTAACAAGGTTAAGATTGTTAAAATTGTTATTTTTAATTCTTCACTTAGCAACATTATATCACTTTGAATTATGTTTATTATTTCACCCATAATATTGGTGTAATTATTTATTCTTTTCATCATTTCCCATCCTCATCCTGTAAATGAAGGGGCTAAAGTCCACCATCTGTCCTCAACTTCAAACAAGTTATCTTTTTCTTCTTCTTCTATTTAACAAATACCTGGGATGTTCTGGTCTGAATACACGTGTCTCATCCTGCACCTCCATTACCGGCATCAACTTAGCAAGGTAACACCATCCAATTCTCGTGTTCATATATTGGAAACATTTGTTTTCACAACAATAATGAATGTTATTTCCAGCACTAGGTATTAGCAACACCGTTGTGCCTTTCTGATCCTGCATCCTGGCATTGTTCACAACCTCCAAAGCATGGAACCACTGACGTTGCAGATCATCTCTAGTCAAATTCAGATAAGCCTCATACAAAGATTTATTCTAGGATGATTGAAACAAACTTCTGGTGACACTTTGAACATTAATCTTATTAAAGGTGTCTGGAGTCATGGTGACATTGACTACAGTATTTCCACACCAGCCGTCTCCAGTGGTTAAGTTTCCTCTATAACATCAGTAGCAGGTATGGCAGAAGGAACAGGAGTGGCTTGCAAAGCATTTTTAATTTATTGTGATCTCTACCCTTCATCCAAATGCAGACCTTAACCTGCTGCTTCAATTTACTGCTGGTAGCAATAATCACTTCATGCTATGGATGCAATCTAATAGCAGGAGTGCTTTTTTTCTAAAAAAAAAAAAAAAGTGCCGGAACTCACACACGTCATACAACCCGCCTTGCCTACCCTACAAGGTTCCATCCAAAAGGTGCCGGAACTCCGTTCTGAGCGTTCTATGAGAAAAAAAGCCCTGAGTAGCAGTATATATTAATATATACTCTGAGGAGGCCACTGTTTCCTCCAACTATTAACTAATTGTTGACTGAAAACTCGAGAAATTGGTATCTTACCTTTAACTTTTGAGTTGCATTTACATCACGTTTTGGAATCCGTTGGAAGTGTCAGGATTGGATTGAGAAGTAGGCCACACAATAGCAACAGTAATATCCCCATCTTTCTCTAAGCAAGGAATATTAACTATGATAAGGCCAACAGTTAACACAGTGATAACAGCAACAACAATCAGTGATGCAATTACAATCACAAAAGACACACATCATGAACCGATGGCTCTTCTTTCTTCCAAACACACAAGGTATTTCTTTCCTAAAACAGTAGAGAATTAGAATTCCAAGTGCAATTAAGAAACCCCAACTTAGCCAAAAATGTCAAGATTCTAGCATTAGCTGTGACTTCTTTAATTTAATTCGTAGAGGGTACTTTCTGGATTGTTCACGGTTCCTAAGGTTTCAGGTGTCAGTCCAAGGTTCTCTCAAATAGCACAGTTCAGAGAGAAAGTCCTCCACAACACACAATGTCCTGAAAAGAAAAACATAATACAAACTTCTGTCCAGCCATTTCGTTCTATTAAACAGCAACCGTAGACCCAAGACGTCTGTCACAGCTTGAGTGGTCCAAACAGAGTCAGATGCAGCCTTCAGTATGGAATGGTGAAGCCAGGTTCTGGACTGAAACACTGGTGTAGCTGGACAGTAGCACTTGAAAAAGTCTTGTGTACGCTTTCACGTAGACCCAGGCTGGCCCCATCCAACAGGCACAGCTTCCTGCAAATATTTAGCAAGGAAAACATCATGGCAAACAACTGTTCCATACAAGAATACTGAGCACGATCTTCAATTTGGTGTGGATCAGTGAATAAGTAAAAATAAAGAGAAAACTCAAGACAGCAAACAAGGGCACTATGTAATGCGAGACATCTTCATTTCCAACTGAACAAACCCTGTATGGCTAAGATACAGTCTAATTAAAAAAAAAAAAACCTGAGACCTAATCTCATCTACTCCATAGAAAGTAGATATGCTGGCAGATGAATTTGGAGCACCAGACTCATCACTGACTCACAAAGAATTCTTAGTATGTTCAAAAGGCCTCCCTGTATTACACTCTAAATTTCCCACCTTGCACTGCTCCCCACACCTGGCCACCCCGCCAGCTGCACACTGCCCTTCCAGCCTCGGCCGCTAGACTGTCTGAGCCGCTGTCTGGCCAGCTGCTCCCTACCTCTCATCCCCCGCCAGCCAATGCTTGTGCAGCCCACCATACCTGCATGCCATCTCCCGGTCCGGCAAGCCCCTGCCCACAAGCCCCTCACCCCTGCCCGCCCTGCCAGCTGCACACCACCCTTCCAGATTTGGCTGCTAGACTGTCTGAGCTGCTGTCCGGCCAGCTCAGAAATGGCCCGGTACAGGGGACAGCGCCAGCCCTACAAGTGAACTCTTCGGAGAGTGGACCATGCACCAGAGCACCCCCCCGCCACCTCATCCCTGGGGCCCTCACCCTCCCTGCTCGACGGAGCCGGGCCAGGAACGCCCGCGGAGCTGCAGTGGTGGCTGGAGCACACGGTTCTCCAGCTGATGGGCCTCAGCCTGTGGTTGTGGAAGGGTCACCAGCCTCAAGGTCTGGTGACCCTTCTCAGAGGGAGAGGAGACCCCCCCTGGCAGGGGCAGCAGGAGAGCCCAGAAAACGGACTGAAAGAAGTGGAGGAAGTCCAGGAGGCCATTGTGCAACATTTAGAAGGGCAAATGGGACTCCTGCAGAACCTGTATGAGGGCCAGAACATCAAATTCAACTTTCTAAGGGGCAAAATTAATCATATGGAAGCAGGTATGCAGAGAGAGTCAGCATCCAGAGCCCGGTCGGAAGATGATGATTCTAAAGCTGCCAAGGCTGGAAAACAGCTGCGATATGGACACAGGGACACCTTCTGTCAGGAGCTTCTCCCCGGAAGCCTCCCGGCCTCAACCGAGCGGTTCCTCGTCTCAATGCAACTGGCCGAAGCCTGAGGCCTCCTCCACAGAGACGATATTCAAAAACTGGGATTGCAGAAACCTGGAAGGGCGTAATCTCCATCTCCTGATGGAGCCCTGCGCCCACTTGCAAATATTCCCACGGAGGAGATGGAACTCCCTACCTCAAGGGTGCCACAAGGGCTTCTTTTTCAAATGGGGCAGATCCTGAAGGCCACTGCTCGGAATCTGCTGATTGCTTTACACCCAGGATGACCTTTTTGCCCTGGGACCTGCTGAGATTGTATATCGTCGGCATCCCCTCCTCGCCTCCAGGATGAGGCGGCAGAGCAAGGACTTAAGAGGGAAGCCGGATGTAAATACAATCATGGACTAAATACCTTTTAAAGACATTTTTAGACTGGCATATCAAATAGTTTTTCAAGTAGCACTTTTGATAGGTTTGTTATGGCCCATGTTGTTCAGAGTATCGTGATTATTTTTAATATATTTTAATCTATTCTGATATCTGTCTTACAAAACAGAAACGTGGGGAAAATTAAATGTGTACATTCTTGCTTGAGGAGTATATATGATCTTTCCTACATGTTAACATACTGAATATGATAATGTGTGTCTTATATGTTGCTGAGGAGCTGGTTTAATGTAGTGTAATAAAGTTTATGTTCTACAATGTAAAGAAACAAGTCGTGGTCTTGGGAGATTATCGGTAGTTCTTTTGAATTACGATCCCATGTCCCCTAATTATGACTGGGGGGGAGAGAGAGGGTTGTTTTTTTTTTAAAGGGGCATATTGTGAAGGATAGGAACAGTACTAGGAACTAATTTAGAAGGGGAAAAGACACGGTCTCTGGATTCAAAATCGAAACGTGATGCCATTGGACACTGATAGTCCAGTCGGGGGAGGACCACGAACAGGGGAAAAACTTGGAACTTTGCGTGGTAACCTTAGACTTAGCCTTGCTTTTGCGGCAACCACTATTCCTTAGTAAAAGAGCCTATCACTTCAGCCAAATGGAGTCAGGATCTTTCTTTCCTAAGGCCCTAGCTGCGGCAGGTCTGACACTTTTCATCCGGAAAATATTCTGTGTAGGGAAGCACAAATAAGTGTCAATGCATTTGCACAGCTGTGTTTCTCTCAAACACTCAGGGGAGAAAGAACAGCCGTGTACTGTCAGTCCAGGAGTTCACACAAAGTTCAGGTGGGAAATCAAAAAAAAGTGTTTAATTAGCCTAGCAAAACCTGCTTGTCACTAGAAAATTAAACCGACTGCTCCACCCAACAGGCAAAAGACTCGGAACCAAAGCAGGTCCACCCTTAGACACAAGATTAAACTGCAGAGGTTATTTATTTATTTATTTATGAGACTTATATACCGCTTTAAGTGCAAGCACTCTCTAAGCGGTGTACACCAGTAAGCAATGTATATATATATTTACATTGCCCCCAACAATCTGGGTCCTCATTTTACCTACCCCGGAAGGATGGAAGGCTGAGTCAACCTTGAGCCGGTGAGATTTGAACCGCTGACCTGCTGAACACAGTCAGCTAAAGTGGCCTGCAGTACTGCACTCTAACTGCTGCACCACCTTGGTTAGCCACTGGGGGAAAGATGTAGGTTGTCAATGTGGGAATTCAGAACCAGCAAACACCCGGGCCAGTGATGACGAACCTTTTAGAGACCGAGTGCCCAAAAACTGGCCCCACCCCCACTCCACCCCTGCCCCCTGCTTCGCCCCTACCCCGTAACCCACCCTGCCTCCCCGCAGGGCCTCGCACCACCTCCAGGGCCCGCCGCAGATCGCTCAGGCAGCCCAGCAGCGCCACGGCCATGCCCTCTGCCCACGCCCCGCAGCATCAACTGTGCAGGATGGGGCATGAGGGCAGAGTCTTGTCTACGCTGCCTGGCTGCCATGTCCTTGGCTGCGCTGCTCCGCGTGGGCCACGCTCAGGGGCGACTCTCCTCCAGGGGGGCTGCTGGTGAGGAGGGGGTCATGGAGGGAGATGAGGCTGGGGCAACAGCACATGTGCCCACAGAGAGCCTCTGGCACGCGTGCCATAGGTTCGCCACCACTGACCCAAGCCATACAAAACATCCTGAACCCATGGAACTCACTGCAACTAGATCTTGCTTGAAAAATAAGGCCGCAGACTCCTTAGTTCTGCATTACATCTGGAATCAGGCAGCCTGATATGCCATAATGATAGTTTGTTGACTTGTTTTGGTTGTAATGCGGACTCCCCAGCCCACGCAGGCACCCCCACAAAAGGCAGGTGGCTTCTTCCATAAACTGAGATGCAAGATTTTGGGCAATCCAAACTCCGGTTCCCCTAAACACAGCACTCCTACAGGGTTAACTGAATCCCGATTTATAACACCCCTTTCTCGCAGGCTGCATTCTCGCAACACGCTGGCCTGGCACGCAGTCGGCTCGCTCGGAGACCAACGGGTCGTGAGAACGGGGTTGGAAAGGCAGCCTCGCTCCACCGGTTCCGCCACGAGCCCAGCTGCAAAGAAATCAGGGCAGCAATTCTGCCGGCGCTAAAAACGGAGCCTCCTCCTTCAGGAGCATCACACCTGTAGCTCCTGCACCGCGGCTTCGCTCGGCCCGCTCCTCCTCGCTCCCAGGGCCGGCCTTGAATGCGGGTGCCCCGTCAGGACGGGGGGGGGGGCAAAGGCTCGCCTCTTACCTGCGCGGGTCCAGGTGGCGCTGCCCGGCCGCGGGAGCAGGAGCAGCAGGCAGCAGAGCCGCGGCCAAGCGGGGCGCGCAGAGAGAGTCTCGGCCGGCCGGCTGCCGCCCGCAGGCTTGGTGCGATCTCCCCGCGGCTGGTGCAGGAACGCGGCTGCCGGGCCGAGAGGCAGAGGAGGAAAGCAGGGGAGGAGGAGGAGGAGGAGAGGAAGAGGCAGAGGGAGGCAGAGGAGGAGGAGGAGGAGGAGGAGAACGAGGAAGAAGAGGGGATCCACTCGCCCTGCCCCGAGCTGGGAGGGCTCCCTCCGGGTTTCACTCGCAGGAGGGGCGCGTGTTGACGAGCGCCGAACCCGGAGGGGCGGGGAGGACGCCAGCCCCTCCCACCCACCCGTCGGCCTGCCCGCCTAGCGGCTCGGCTCGGCTCGGCTCGGGTCTCCCGCCCTGCCAGACTCCCTATTGCAAAGCTGCACTCCCCCCTCAAGCCCCGCGTTGAAAGAGGAGAGCCACTTGTAGGCAATGAACTCAACAGCGACAACGATCACGACAACCGGTTTAACGTGTCACAGAGCCCAGTTATTGGGAGGGGGGCTCTAAAGAACTGGGGGGGGGGCAGATGTGGCCTTGCAAAGGAAGGCGGGCATTTTCCAACCCACCCCCTCCATCTTGCCTTCCTCCTCCCCCCCAGCAAATGCTGCTGCTGCTGCTCACCATTTGTTGCAATTCGTAAATTGTGCTTGGTGCTGGAACATTGTGTGATCCCAGCCACTTGTGGTGCAGTTGATAAAGATGCGAACCTGCCCAAGACCATGGATGGGAAGGGCCCCCCCGGTCTCCTTCCCCTCCAATGTGCCCCCCTGTCCTTCAGTACTGAGGGCTTGGTGGGCTTCGCTCCTGCCTGCTTCCCTCTGGGGCCCTTAAGGGCCCGCCTTCGGATTTCCTGGCCTTCCTGGAACTTTTCCCCCTAAAGAAGTCTGGGACAATTAAAATGGTTCCCTGGGGGCTCTTGGCCTTCCAGATGCTGTCTGGCCTTTCCCAGGAGGGTTGGGGTCTGCTCCCCACCCTTAGGGCTCCATCCTGGAGAAGAGGGGCAGCCACGGTGGGGTCCCTCCTGGTTTCACTTCAGGCTCTGCAGGGGCGTCCAAGAGGGAGCCCTCCTTCTGAAGGGGGCTGCCCCCAACACTAGTCCCCTTATGGGTCTCTCTGGCCAAGTTGGCATTCTTGTCTAACTTCCGTGTTTTCCTCTGAGAGAAGACTGGAAACAACAAATTTGAAGCAGCTGTCATTTTTCATCTGGGTTTATCGAGGACTTTGAACAGCAAACAACTTAGTCACCCTGAAACCCTGATAGGTGAGCTGGGGGGGGGTTGTCTTGTCAAGAGGAAAATGCAGCAATTAATCTTTCGGCACCTGACACTTTTGACCCCGGCAATTAAATCAAAGGTTCTTAAAATGGGCTCATCCCGCATTTCCCTGCAGCTGGCCAAGCCCTGCTGGGCCTGCAGTGACACCCAGCAGCCTGTGCTGCGACGCTGCCTCTTCTGCTCCCTGAAGCAGCCCACATCACGCTGCGATTAGTGGAGCTGGCATTGAGCAGCTTCAAGAGCAAGGCGCCCATCCTTTAGCAAGAAGACTCAGTGTACAACGCATACATGGCCATCTGGGGAAACAGGACCTCAGGGGGGCAAGCCCACCAGGGCTCCTGGGGCAGGGGCTCTCCAGAGCATGGCAAGGGGTGGGTCTTGCCCAGAGCTTGGCCTTTAGTCTCCCTGGACCAGGCACCCTCCTGCTGCTGGGGTGTCAGTGGGGCATTTTCTGAGCAGGGGGACTCCGAGGGGGCAGCAGGTGAAAGGTTTCCATGGGCCTCTTCCTTACATTTTGGGAGCTTGGCTCGGGGAAGGGGGTCCCTCCCGCAGGCTGAGTTCTCTGGAGCAAGATCAGCACAGCCCAAAGGAGTGGCATCCGAGTCTCTCCCTTTCATTACGGCAAATGGCAGACCCCTGTATGTTGGCATCATTTCCAAGGGACTGAACATAAACAAGTACTATTATGTACACACACACACACACACACACACACACACACATTAAAAGCTCCTTCTGAGGGGAGCCATGACACATCAGTCTGTGCAAGGGCATCTTCAGCCTGAAAGGGGCTGCCAGCCGTTGTTCCTTACAGGTACAACAATATCTTCCCCAGAGCCCATGCAGTGAACCTGTGAAGCCCATAACCACAAATTAAACGAATAGCTTTGAAAAGTGGCTCAAAGGCATGGAAAAGCTGTCAGTGGTTGCTTGCCATGATGGCTCTAGCTCAGTCCAGGAGTCACTTCTGTTTATGGGCCTCTGGCTGGCTCTGGACCCTGAGAGAACTGACTGGTGCTGTGAAGTCTTTTGGGCTTGGTGGCTTTCTTAAAGATGTTTCATTACCCAATTCAGCGCTGATAATATTACCTAGCTGGGTCATGAAATGTCTGCCACAAAACCACCAACCTCGGAGAGCGCCAAGGACCCCTCATTTCAACCCTTAATTCCAAATATTCTCGCCTATTGGTTCCTTCAAGGAGATTCGGACAGAGAGAAGCGTGGAGCTCTCTGCAGTGATCTACATTGGGAGCTCTCCATGGTCCTGCAAAGGCAGCTACTTAGTCAGCCTACCAGCTTTTGCTTGTGGGTCCAACTCTTCCTCTCAGAAGGTTGAGGTTAGGTTGTGGTTGAGAAGGCTCTTGATTCCAGACACCCCCCTACACCCAGCTGGCTCCTAAGTCGAAAGCTGTGTTCTCCAAGGCAATCTTAGCACCAACCAGAACTTCCTCTTTCTGCTCTGTATTCAAGATGGACAGTGATTAATATTTATATGTTAGTTATATGTAAGGGCGTAGGCTTATACATATGTTGTATATAGCATGTTTAAATGTGAGTTATGTATATGTACACTTTTGAGAGCAAGCAACAAAATTTCATTTTTAATGTGTGCCAATATGCCCACAGTAAAAAAATGACAATAAAGGTTATCTATTCCATCTAGTCTAACCAGATCCTGATAATTATCCCCCTTTTGCATCATGCTCCCTGTTTTCCCCCCAGTTACTGAAATGGCCCCTGGCAGAAAGAGATGGGGATGACTGGTGTGCAGCCTTGCAATAGATACCTCGGTGTCAGCGGGCAAAGCAAGAGTTTTGCTTCATTTTGGTTTTTTTTTTTTCAACAAGACACAGTCATTTTTAAAAATATATATGTATTTTACAGTTATACAGTAAATCCAATTTACAAAGGATGATAACAACATCAGCATATGTGGTCCCAGGGAAAAAGTTTCAAACCACCTTCAAACCACTTCAGGCTGATTCTAGCTGAACTAGATATTAATAGTTCAATTCAAATACTTCCAGTTCCAAAGTTAATACAGGTAGAAACAGTTTTGCATGAGTCTTAAATAAAGGGGGGCAAGATGAGAAGAGTTTGCCTCCAAAACAATATAAAAGTCAGCCAACTGAGGCAGCTGAACTTTTCCGGTACACTTAAAAAAACAAGGGGAAAACAACTGGAAATCTGAATTTCTGACACACGCACTCACACACTTTGGTAACACAATCCAAAAACAGGGACAAAAACACTGAGGACTATCCCCTTTGAGGAGAGTCTGCAGACCCTCCTGGCCCCTCCCAATCAACAGCATTCACGGTCGTATTTTCAGTTAACCTGATGAGTTAAATGATTCTGACAAATAAGTTTCAAGTTGAATAAGGTGCAACTTACAGATTATGATGTCACAGTGCAATTTAGCAATCAAGAACTTCATTCTCAAATAAAACAAAACGTTTGGCCTATGCAAAAAATCCGTGGCAGAAGACAGCCACCGACAGCAGGATGATGGCATTGATGTTGACCACACGCCTCCATAATGGCTCCTCTGTGGTGTCCATCAGCTTGTGCTGCAGGGCTTCCTGCTCTTCCTTGCTCAGCTTGGGGCCCGTCTGCTCCAGGCCGCAGAACCAGTTGTAGGCTTTCTTGCAACAGTTGACCTCTTTCTCTGGGGCTGCAAGGACAACATCATTGCTGGGCATTAGATGAAGCAACCAAACTGACCCTTCCATGCCCAGAACATCCTCCTCAGGTGCCACCACCTTATTCTCATACATTTTGCTTATATGCCCCAATATGTCTAGTACCATAGAGTTGAAAGAGTCCCGTTATCGAATCTACTGACCATTATTCATCCTGTTTTACGTTGAGACAAACAACAATGCCAAAAAAGAGACTGGAAAGAATCTCAAAAGACCACGAGGAGTTAGGCAGAAAGGCAAAAGAGTTTTGAGCAGAGGTGGGATTTTCATCCATGCCTCCAATTAAAGGACTTGGCCCAAAGAAGGAGTGGAGGATTTTTTTGGGGGGGCTGAACTGTTGGCTCAGGGACGGAGCACCCAAGAAAACTTTGTATTCCTGGACCACAACTGGGCCCTCTACAGGTAGGGCTTCCGCAAGCCACGAGATATGTTGTACCTCCCAAAGACTGGCAAGAACACATACATGTCATTATACTCGGGTCATGTGGCAGACTCTAAACTAAACCTGGAGTGGGAAAGAAATCAGAAGGCAGCCAAAGTTTCTGTCCAAAGGTAAGAGACCCTGAGATAAAGAGAGGAGGGGCGCCCAGAATATATCAGGAAATGCAGGAGGCAAAGCTAAGAAGGCCAGTGCTGAGAGTCAGAGGCTTTTTGTACATCAGAGAACGAGAAACAAACAGGGAGAACATAAAGCCTTAGTACAGGGAGGAAAGGTGGCATTATTATTATTATTTCTAAAAGTTGGTGGAATGTATCATGTGATTGGAATATAAAACTAGAAGGATATAATTTGCTGACAAGAGAAAAAGTCCAACTAGGGGAGGGGGGAAAAGGTGTCATATTATATGTGAAGAATTTCAACACCTGTAAAGAAATTCAGGACATCAAGGGTGAAAATCTTGCCGAAAGTGTCTGAGTGGAAATCAAAGAAAAAAGCAAAACAAAAAATGATGCAGGTGGCCATGCTTCACAGGCCACTAACCAAGCAGGATCAGATCCTTGAGTGTCTAGGAAACGTATCACTGTGTCGGGGGGACTTCAACTACTTGAGCATCAACTGGGAATCAACCAAAGCAGCAAGTGGGAGATTTTACGGGTTCTCACTGTGTCTTGTAGACTGTACAGCAGGGGTCCCCAACCCCCAGTCTGTGGAGCAGTACTGGGCCGTGGCATGCCAGCAACCGGTCTGCACAAACAAGCAAAACCCCAACCATAAGATGCAGGCAGCACACAAAACCACGCACCCTCCGGTCCGTGGAAAAGCCTCTCTCCATGG